CCTTTTAAGAACGGCTAAATTAACTTATTACGTTATATTCCAAGCGATTTTGGTATCATTAACGGGGCATCTACGAGATATTTCAAGTAAAATTATTGTAGTTATTTTATAATACAAGGTTAAAAACAATTTACCAATAAGCAGTGATTCGATTATTTGTTGTTTAAAAAACTGACATTAAATTTTATTAAGTTACAATAAAAATAGAAATAAAATTGAAACTAGAAATTTCCGGGTTATGCGGTGCGATTAACGAACTAATTACTTTTCGCTTACTCAAATTTCAAAGATGCAATTAATATCAAACACTTTTGTTCATTCAATGCTGTTTAATGAAGTCTTAGATTATAAAAATATAAATATATACAATCTAAGAGTAAGCAACTGGAAAATGTAATAGTGAAGTGATTTTTTCAGCAAAGAGCATTAGGAGAGCCGATGTCCGGTCCATATGTGTTAGCTAAAGCACAATACTTTGCAGAAAAGTTACAAATCACCGAAAGACTTACACTTTCAACAGGTTGTTTGCGACATTTTAAAGAAAGGCATGGAATTAGAAAATTATAAATTCAAGAAGAACAGCGGACGAAGTTGGGGCTACAATTTTTTGTGACACGTTATCAAATGTAATTAAAGAGAGGGGTTTTGCACTTGTCCAAATATACAAAGCTGATGAGACTGGCCTCTATTGGAGTGCAATGCCCACTCGTACATTAGCTTCTGCTAAAGAAAAATTAGCTGTAGTAGTGATGTCAAAGTCGCCTAGAGCTTTAAAAAACATAGAAAAACTCCCAGTCAAATACTATAACAACCGTTGTGCGCGATTGACATGAGACCTTTTTGAAATGTGGTTTAAAAATAAATTTGTTCCACACGTAAAAAAAATATATGGACGGCAAAGGTCTCCCTCAAAAAGCAGTATTGCTTCTTGATAATGCGCCATCTCATCCGCCAGATGAAGCGTTGTCAGCCGAGAACGGGAATATCACAGTTTTGTATCTTCCGCCAAATGTGACCCCCCTAATTCAACCCATGGAGCAGGGCGGAATTGAAACGCCCGACAAAAATTAATGATGGATCTGATCGCAAAAGACAACAATGCAGTTTTGGAACTCAATTCCGCTTCGAGATACTGTATACAACATATCGTATGCCTGGGAAAATGTGAAAGATGTTTTAACAATATTTTATGCGATGAATCAGCTGAAGAATATGAAATTGATAGTGATGAACCTTTAGATGCGTTTCAGTCGTTAAAAAATGTTCAGAGTTGTGAAGAACTGGGTGACGAAAATATGCTGGAGTGGCTAAATGTTGACTCGAATGTTTTGGACTGTGAACACATGACCGACGATGATCTACTGACTAGATTTGCTTATATTTCTTTATCAACCTTTATTCATTTTAAAACATCATCACATTCTCTCTATTATACTTTAAAATAAAACAATCTTTTTCACTACTGTTCTCAACGACTTCTTCTGAACTTCTTCTTTTCTTGCTGTCATCTAATCGTGTTCACTGCTTTATCGACTCAACGGCCGATAATTACAGATTTCCAATTGGTGGTATTTCGTTGCAGATTTCTCCATCCTCCAGGGGCGCGAAAGGTTGCTGCTCCGGGGGAAGTGGACATACCTTTCCAATCCCTCTTGTTACAATTCTATTCGATGTCTTAACAGAGACGACTCGAATGGCACCATCTTTTCCAGGATGTAATTCATGGATGCGTCCTAGTCGCCAACACTGTGGAGGAACGTTTTCCTCTCTCAAGAGTACTAAATTCCCACATCGAACCGTTTGGTTAGCATTATTTCCATTCTTCTTACATTTAGCTCGCGTTTGCAATGTGCACAGGTACTCCTTAGACCAGATTTTCCAAAACATTTGGATTTGGTGTTGTAATAACTTAAAAGTGTTTAGAGCACTTTTTGGAGGTTGAAGTTCCGCAGATTGTGGTAAAGCAGTAAGTGATTCTCCAATGAGGAAATGTCCCGGTGTGAGTGCTGACAGGTCATTAGGATCATTGGACATTGGGTATAAAGGACGGGAGTTCAAAATTGATTCTATTTGGCACAGAACAGTTGTCATAGCTTCTATTGTTAAACTAGCAGATAGTATCTTTTTTAAATGATTTTTCATGGATTTTACTGCACTTTCATGTAATCCACCGAAGTCAGGAGTACGTGCAGGCATGAATCGCCACTTTACATTGTTTTCCATTAAATAGTCTTGTACATCTTCTGACCAAGATTCTAGTCTACAGTATCACCAAACCAATCTCTGAACCGAGTTTACTCCAAGAATGTGGTGACGATGACGTAGAAGATGATACCTTGGAACCACAATCTAAAGTCAGCTGCAAGGAAGCACTAGCAGGTGCTGTAACTCATTTGAATTTTATGAAACAGCAAGATGATACCGACTATATACACATTTTAAAAATAAATTAATTAAACAAAAAATAATTAAGTGTTTTGTTATTAGTTTTTGTTATTATTTTATTATTTGTTATTATTATTTAGTTTTATAGTAAAGAAGGTTGTTTTACACCAGTTTATTTCTTTCATTATACAATTCTCTAACCTTTTCTTAGAACAAAAATTAAACATTCGTATTTTAGGTTGTATTATTCGTAATTTTCAATTATCCGGTTTTTATTATCCCCCGATTACCACGGTTAATCGGCACTCTACTCTACTGTATAGGCAAAATGCTTTTTCCCCAAACGTTCAATCTCTAAAACTCAGGGGCTTTTACAGCACGTATAAAAAAATGCGTAAACCTTATTTTGGTCCATTCTATGAACAGTCATAGAATGAGTCATGAAATTTGGTACAGACCAAATTTCATCGAAATTGGTGTGACACAGTTGTGTTACTTCCCTTGTGAGAGCAAAAATGTAAAAGAGCAATATTGTTAACAATAAAGTTTCCTACATCTTCTATACTAAACCTTTTTTTCTGAAGCGTTGCGAACCGCGTGCTCTACTAAAAACAATATGGAAAACTATAATTTCATCTAATCCCGAAAAATGAGGAAGTACTTCATTTATTTATTTATGGTAAATAAACTAATAGTACAAAACACTAAAATATAAAAAAGTAAAAGAAACTCCGAATTAGAGTATTCATAAAAAAAAATAATACTGTCCAATACTACATACATACTAATATACATATACATATATAATACTAAATAATTAAATTGTACAATACCTACCAATACAATGAACCGGGCAGTCGACATACTTAACATTGATCTCGTCTGGGATAATTCGGAATAGCAAATGAAATTTGACTCACAAGTTCAGACGAGTCAACTGATCTGCTGATCAATTTATACAGAAACAACACATCAGAGGCCACCCGACGTCCCCGTAACGATTGCAATCCGAGAATAATCATACTGTCATGTTCTTCACCTCTCTCTCAAGAACGATTTTAGCACCCATGTCAATAGCAACTACTTCCGCCTGGAATACGTACTTTCGGCATTTTTGATCCATCTGTGAACATGCAAATATCTGCCCGAACCAGAGAATTTTCGTTTTCGATCCAGGACTGGCGCTGAGGCAGTACAATATGGTATCGAGCATTAATTACTGATAGTGATCCCTTCAAATCTCACGGCATTGATAGCACAATATCAGTGCTTATAATGTCTTCCGCAGTATATTGGTACGACATGTCGGAACAGTTTTGAGCATATTGCTTAAATCTGTGCATGGTAGTTCTAGCCACTTTCTCTATATGCAAATGCAGAGGAGATAGGCCAAGCAGAACCTCCATTGCTAGAGTTTGCGTTGTGCTTATCGCACCAGAGATTGCCAATCCAGCTACACGTTGAATTCGTGAAAGTATACTGATAACTGAAGTCTGTTGGACTTTCCTATACCAGGCTGCTGCTCTGTATGTGATCATAGGTCTAACCACAATCACATAGAGCCAGTACAGTTTTTCAGGGGTAAGACCCCAATTTTTTGCACAAAGACTACGACAAGTCCACCAGGATAGTCTTTGTGTAAAACTCTCTGCAAATGTCCATTCCATGAGAGGGTTATGTCTAGGATTACTTCTAGATATTTGACTTCCTTTGAGAAAGGAATTTCTTCATCGACTAAACATGGTAGTTGAAAAGTAGTTTTGAATCGATAACAACGTCAAGATCCTTCACCTTGGACAATACACTATGCTTACAAATTAAAGCTTATAATTTGTATTGCAAACTCTGATAATTTCATAAGAATTTAATGAAACTACAGTTTATTAAGATTTTTTGAAAATTATTGTTTATTTCCAAAATGTCCAAGAGCTTTAAAAAGAAATTTTTAGGAAATCGCGTTTAAACTTTCAAATAATAAAAACTTTCTTTTCAATTTCTATTGACTTATTAACTAATCTACAGACCCAGGATCTTAATGAAGTTTCTATTTCTTCATAAAATAAACTTTATATGCCATTGCGACGTTTCGTGAAAAAGCGCGATTACTTTCTCACGGGTCAAATTTTGTTGGCCGATTTTAGTTGATCAACAGAAGTTGAAAGAAAACTATAGTGAGAACTTGTCAGTCAAACTTTTGTAGTTCAATTAATGACTCATCGCGAATCGCTTGCAACTGGCCAAGGCACACGTGATTGTGTTTGATTTTTGATATAAGATTTTATTAAAAATTACCAATAATAAAATAAGATTAGGTTTTTATCCATTTCACCCTTTTTAATTATAGTATGAAAGATCAAAAACAAATTATACTCTGGTGATGACTTTTTAAATGTTTATTTCTATAAACTAATAAAATAGTTTAAAAGAATGAGTCATAAGTGCTCTGAAAATGTTATAATGAAATTTTTAGAACTATTGTTACAAGACACAGACACAGCTGGGCATGAATCATGGTTATATTCACAAGTGTGCGAAACCTGACACCATCAAAACAACGATAAGAAATTTTGTATAAAAAGCACGAATTAATTTATTCTTATTCAGTTATTAATCAACTAAGAGAGAGATTATGGTCGGTACGAAACATTCACGAATAAGAAGCCAAGGAGATTGCCAATATAGAGATCCTGTCTCCTTTTAAAGGTAAAACAGAATAAATCTAAAGTTAGATCCTTAGTATATCCTGATAAGTTTCGATGTGGAATCTCTATTTAGCAGAGTACCAATCAAAGAAGCCGTGGATGGTCTTCGCCATAAATTCAACCCGGAGGGCTTGCCGAAATATGTTCCAGGGCAGTAACAAATAATCACCAATATCTGCATGGATATGTTTGAACAAGAATGATAAAGTTCAGAGGAAGACAATGATAACCAGCTAGCTTTCCTTTCTTATTTCTCAATCAGTTACCATTCCTCATTGTATCAGTTACCAGGACCATCAGGGAGTATATCCGAAGAAACCGCACATGAGCAGATACTTACCAGCTTCATCACACTACCACCTACATCAAAAGATGTATTTCGCACCCTTTTGGAAGAGACACGAGATTATCCGAGGGAGAAAATTTGAAAAATTAAGAAGGACTTCTAAGGGACATACTGCAGAAGAATGGGCCAACAAAGAGAGGATGCTACATATAACAAATACGGTAAGTAGTCAACCTGTGGGCTTCATCTGTTTTTCGAATGTTTTAGGTGTAACGAAACCTATCGTCGTGCGCTTAGAAAAGGACCACATACTGGTGAAACATTTGACAGTCAGCAATTTATGGAATACATTGCTGATAGCAAAACACAAATTTCCTCCGTTAAGGGCGTTATGAGTCTACAGAGTGTCGTGCAAGTGTAGGAAATACTATGTAGGAAAAACTGCATGGAACTTCGAATATCGTATGAAGGAACACGAAATCAGATTAGATTAGGAAAAACAGACCAGTACCAGAATGTGCAATATTGTGTCCACTGGATACATGAAACCTCTTTGATCTGAAAATACGAAGGTTACAAAAAACAAAATCCGGTATAAATAGTATAGAATGGAAATGCGAAAACCTTTTCAATTTTACCTCCTTTTGTGAAGGACAAAGAACGAGTAACGTTCTTTGATCAGGGAGCAGATGGTGATGGCAAAGATGACAGCGAGTTAGAAGAGAACGTGTTTTAATCATTACATTCTAGCTCCACTTCCACCCACAACAGACAAGACATACCTTTTCCAGAAACTTCTACTAATAATAATGCTTCAGAATCTGTACAAGAACTTACAACAACTCTAAAAGCAAAAAAAAAGAATTTCAAAAGCAACAACCGAGTTGCCTACGTCAGGAAGTAGGGGAGAGACCTTTTTGAAATATAAGTAATATGAAAAATATACTTCAAGTATAATTGCTTGTCTTATCAATGAGCCTTGAATGACCGGAGACGGAGGTAGAAGTTTTCCAATAATGTCATTTACGAGGACATCATACTCTTCATCTCATTCCAGCATAAATCTTCTGGTATTACCAATCCTTTTATATTTTACTTGAAACTCGGAATTGGACAAGACGTGTCTAATTCCACCAACATAAAAATAAGCAAGTTGTTTTTCAACATTATTTATCAAAATCAAATTGCCCTTATTTAAATTACCTTGGGCAAAATTCTCTTCAATCTTCCTACGTTTTATATTTTCTAATAGGGTTTCTTCTTCACTGCTGGAACTGTTTGGTACTTTTTCATTATCTTCATGTGAGGAACTGTTGTTGGAACCATTTAATTTTTTGGAAATTTTTCACCGGTGCCACTTTTCTTTCATATTCAATTATTTTCTTTTCAGACTAATTAGTCAATATGCACGTTTTCCTTTTTTTCTTCCTATTTGTACTAGTATCCGCGTGGCTTTTAGAAATGGGCCTATATCTTCAGGTGACTTAAATAAAGATATTGAAGGAATACTCATGGTCCAGCTCGCAGCAGCCGATGCAGCACTGCATTGAGACTTCGATGTGGATGGAAAAGCATAAATATTATCTTCATTCGTCGACTTTGCAAAAGAGTTACTGTTAAACTCTACGCTTAAGTCTGTTTCATCTTGACCATATCTTGTTTAATATTTTTTTGGTTTATAATAAATCACCTCCTGAAATGCCATGCCTAATCTTTCGGTCAGTGACAAATGAGGACAGAAATTCATAGTCTCGAAAAACTTGGCCATCAGGTATGTCACCTGATCCATCCTTACCCATCTTTCAATATTCTCTTTAGTAAAAGATTTACTAAATGTTTTTCCTATAAATTCAGCAATATCATATGTGCTAATTGGTTTTCCATTATGTTCTAGTAGCCAAATATTTAAGACAGCTTTTCACACTGCCAAATAACTGCGGGGTGATATTTCATCAACATTAAGAATTGAATTTTAATACCTAACGAAATTTAAAATAGGGTTAAAGTAAGGTTAAAAAAATGATTTCTTCAAAACGACCAAGATTTAAGAATTGAACTTTTTTGAGGATATAAAGGAACGTTTAATATTATGTTATACCAAATTTGAAGTTTCCAAGCTGAAAATTAAGAAGTGAATTTGACACCAAATTAAAGCTGAAATGTTGCTCTTTAATATGGTATATGAAACATATTTGGTTGTATTATAAAAATGTTTAGACAATAAAACTTGAAGTTGTGTTACATTTCCATTTTAATCTTAAATTGTCATAATACAAGTTGAAACTTAAAAAATCGTGGAAGCGTTGTTTATGAAAATTAAGAAGTAAAATTGAAATAAAATTAAAGCTGAAACATTGCTCTTTAATAGTGTATATGAAACATATGTATTTGATTTATAAATTTTTTTAGATAAGGAAACTCGAGGTTGTGGTACATTTTTATCTTAATCTTAATTGTTTCTGAAAACAGAAATATGATTTTGATATCAAATTAAAGCTAAAATGTTGCTCTTCAATATGGTATATGAAACATATTTGGTTGTGTTATACAAATTTTTAGATAAGAGAACTTGAAGTTAGCTTACATTTTCGTCTTAATTACAAAATGTCATAATTCAGGTTGAAACTAGATAAATCGTGAAAGGGTGTAAAAATTTAGAAGTTAATTTGACATCAAATTAAAGTTGAAAGACTACTTCAACTTTAAAAAACTTAAAAAATCGTGAAAGCGGTGTTTATGGAAATAAAGAAGTCAATTTGATAACAAATTAAAGTTGAAACATTGCTCTTTAACCAGATAAATATATGTGAAACATATCTATTTGTATTATAAATCTATTTGCTAAGCTAATCGCTGCAATTGAAATGTGTAATTCGTGAGTATCAAAGATTAATAAGATCACCTTTTGAAGTTGTTTCTTAAGCAATGAAATGTTTTTTTTAGATAATCTACAAAGAAGACCATCCAGATGGATTTGTGCCGCCAATGAATCCTTTTGGAGCACCAATAAGCATGTGGGACTTGAAGTATGCTCTGGGAAAAATCAACATGGGTGTTACATGATTACCAAGGTATTAACCGCAACAATCATAGCAAGGAAATTCATTGCTTCTCTTTTTGTGAGACCATGGTGAAGTTGAGCTGAATGTAAATAATAATCGACTAACTTTGTTTACAGAAAACACTTTATGACTGTAGAGTTAGTATTAATTATAAGAAATATTTCTAAAGCTAACAATGAAATAAACACGTATGAAGTGTTCGATGTTTTTTAATATTCTATTTCATTGACAAAATCGAAAACCATAATAATAATAATAATAAATAAAGTCATGGCAACTAAAATAACGTAAACTTGATCTTTTACAAAAAACTAATAATTTTAAATATGAAAGCTGTATAAGTACGCTACATATACAGTGTGTTAATTGATTATCGTACCCGACGTCAGCATTGTAAGTATGCAACCAATATCACAGTGCAATACACATCATACGGAAATCGCGTATAGCAATAAAAATACTGTGATATTGCTTGCATACTTGCAATGATGACGTCGGATACGATAATTAATTAACATACTGTACTCCCCCCTTAAAAAATAGCAACCATAGCAACAACTATAATTCAAAATGACAATTTTCAAATAAGGTTGTCAAAACTGAAAGGTGACTTTATGTATTTTTGTTTAATAGTGACATTGTCACAAAAATTTATGACGTTGTCGTTTAAAGAAAATACTGGTTGGAAACGATCAATACTAACAAGTAAGTTTTCGTTATTTTGCGAAACAATAAAGTTTTTTTTTAATCTTTTACAACTTTGAAGGGTCCTTCTAACCTCGGAGAGAGGGATGGACGATGTTCTAACTTTAGAAAAACAAATTTAGAATTTAACAAATTCTTATGTACAAAAGGTTTAGAAGTAGAATGAAGTTGGTACAAGCTTTAAATTTGAAAATGTTTCTCGCAAACTGGATAAAAGAGGTTCTGTGTCAACAGAATGATGTAAATTTATAAAAAAGTCTCCAGGAAGACAAAGTGGTTGCCCATATACCAACTCAGCGGGAGAACAACCCAGATCTTCTTTTAAAGAGGATCTGTGTCCCAACAGGATTATTGGTGGTTCGTGATTCCACCTATCGACATTTCCTCTGGCTGTTATGACGGTTTTGAGAGTCCTGTAGAATCTCTCCAAAATGCCGTTGCTTTGAGGGTGGTAGGCGGAAGTATGAATCTGACGTGATCCAAGGAGCTTGTTAAATTGTGAAAAGAGCCGAGATTCAGAGTGTGGTATGCCGAATCTGGAAAAATATTCACGGAGAAGAGTGTTTGCTACCGAAGAAGATGAAATATCATTTATAGGATAAGCTTCAGGCTAACGTGTAAAACAGTCGATTATTGTGAGGACGTAAGAACATCCTAAAGAAGATACTAAAAGTCCAACTAAATCTATATGGATATGCTCAAATCGTCCTTTGGGAATGGATATTTTCTCAACGCGGGATTTGGTATGTTGATGGATCTTTGTTTTCTAACACTGGAGACATGTTCTTGTCCAAAATTGTCTGTCCTTTGACATATGAGGCCAAAAGAAGCGAGATTTAACATTATGTAATGTAGAACGAAAACCTGAATGAATTGAAGAATGAAATTTATTAAAAATTACTCTTCTATATTTATTTTTTTTTGTCGCACCAAAGTACTAAGTTTGAGTCTGAAATTTCAGATAAATTAGAATTGCATTTGGAAGCTGATTGTTTGTTGATTAAATAAGGTAATTGTTGATCTTCGTCCTGAGCATTTTTAATCATCTGTAAGTTTGGGTATAGATTTTCAAGATAATCGACATTGATTCGTGACAATGTGTCTGCCACGACGTCTCTCTCTCGATAAAGAAGGATAGAATACCCTTTGAAGAAATATGATGCCCAAAAAAATCTAAAGATTTAACATCAAAAATGCATTTAGAAGGTTGAATGTTGATGTTGAACCCTCGCAAGGAAGCGGTAAAGCAAAAAAACTACTCTATTGCATAATACTTAAAAAAAATAAATAAAAACTGAAACACTCCATCATCACGATCCAAGTGAAAGCATCCAATGTCGCCAGTGTAGACCAATACCATATAGAAATATAGAATAGAGTTCAATAGAACAATATGAATTTTTTTTAATAAAAACTGATTTGAAACATGCTGGAGAGAATGAGTTAAATCACTGTTGGTTCTGCTGCGAGCGTAGAGATAAGAACATCCACCTCCGAAACCGGGACAGTGGAAGCAACTTGATATCGTCAGTCCGTCAATTTGCGTTTTATGCGCCGGAGGGGTAAGAAGACCTTTGAATTTTAAGTTCAGATGATGTACATCAGTTCGATAGCATACTCTATCCAACAAATACTCAGGTGTTTTTGAGGTTAAAACTCTATGCTAAAAAACGGCACAGTGAAGCTGCCTACGTCTATCTATGTTCAACCACTCCAATATGGCCAATTTGTGAGATATATGATCATATTTCCTAATACCAAAAATGGTGGATGAAGCAAGCATTTTGTAGTCGCTGAACACGAAGCTGATCTACCTTCAACAAACAAGGCGCATACACCACATCGGCAAAATTAAATCGGGATAAAACCAGCGATTGGCATAACGTTGCTTTGGTGTGAAAGCCCAGTATGTGTCGACAGGGGTAAAAAGCCTTTAATTTAGCATAAGCCGCTTGGAGAACATAAGAAATATGTTTGCGAAATCTTAAATAAGTTTGAAGGTGGAGTCCAAGGTTAAGAACCTCAGAAACCATCGGGAGAAGTTGTCCATTTTTATTTATATTAACGAAGTCGGAGTATTTTTGAACGTCTCCCATTCGACCGAAGACCATAACCTTTGACTTACTGGGATTCAATCTAAGGTTAAACCTTTCTGCAAGCTGAGAAAAAGCATCCAATTCCCTGTTGATCACAACTAGGCTATCATCAAAATTATCTGGAGGAAATGAAAGATACACTTGCGTGTCGTCTGCATATAAATGAATGTTACAAATGTGAAAAACATTAATAAGATGAGCTGTATAAATAGAAAACAGGAGTGGTGATAATATTGATCCCTGGGCGACTCCTAATCCTAGTGTCATCAATGAGGACGATTCATTATGCAATCGTACATATTGTTTGCGATCCAATAAGTAGCTTCGAAGCAAGTCAATTGCAGATTCCGCGAAACCGGATCGTTGCAGTATAGATAGTAGTAATGAATGACAAATAGTGTCGAAAGCCTTACTGAAATCTAAGAGGATTAACACTGTAAGGAACCCATCGTCAGTAGCTCTCAGGATATCATCCGTAATTGCCGAAAGGGCGGTCACACAACCATACCCCTGCCGAAACCCCGAAATGTGAAATATGTTCGGTTTCATCCTTGCTTGCAATTAGAAAATCGTCCAAATAAATATCAAAGAAATTGAAACATGACAGGACTTCATTGATGAAACATTGGAACGTTTGGGCAGCATTCCGAAGAGCAAAAGGCATTCTTGTAAATTCGAATAGTTCAAAAGGGGTGGTTATTGCGGTTTTGTAAATGTCTTCAGCTACGATGATATGCTCTGACTAAATCAACTTTCGAGAATATTGTACAGTTATTTAAATGCAAGTTGAAGTCTTGTATGTGAGGAAGAGGGTAACGATCGGCGAATAGGCAAGGCGAATAGTTCGTTGAATTGAACCTATTGAATATAGATTGGTTTCCAAATCAAGTAAACGACGGTTTTTAATATCTAATAAGATACAGTATTTATGCAAAAAATCAGCACAGATAATTGTTTTTTTAACATCGGCTATAGTAAATATGAAAAAGAGATGTAATCTATCATTTTTTTGCTATAAAAACATAGCCTGTATTATTTGGATTTCCCTGTGCATTATTCTCAATTTGTAGCCAGTGTTCTGTGGTTCACACTTTTGTATTATTATCTGTAACTTTCTTCACAGCTCTTTCCAATGCGCCAACGTCTATTGGCCTTGTTTTAACTTGCTTACTTCTGGGCATGTTTCTGGGAAGAATAACGATAGCTATTACTTACACTATTAGGTACTAAAAATATAGATAACAACACATGAATATACAATGTTGTAGCTTGGGACATGGCCCGAGGTGCAACGAAACTAATGGCCCGACGTACAACATCCTATAAGCAGAATAATTATATAGCTACTGTTTCCTTTGGGATTAACTTAAAAATGTGATTTTATGGCAATATTATCGCCAATGTCCCGGGTACAACCGTCCCAAGGTACAACACTTTCTCCTACTTTCATGGATTTTCTTTTGTAGGAAACAACAAAGCAACAAATTTTTACGATCGTTTAAACGTTCGAAACTAAATACATCGACCCTCCATCAGCTCCAAGCACATGATATAAATGCATTTATGCAAGAATCCAAGCTATCGCAAATTCCAGCAATAGCATCTCCAAAAAGCAGCCATAATCTGGCATATACTGATCTAAACTATGTAACTTGCACACCAAATTAATACCAGGTTCTATCGTCTAACCATTTTGCACAATCCTCAAATTCCTCCCGGGCGTTAACTACATTACCTCCTGAACAAATTGCCAGTTTCTGAATTGGATATATAAAACAAGAAATTCACAAAATAAGGAATATTGTANAAAACATAGCCTGTATTATTTGGATTTCCCTGTGCATTATTCTCAATTTGTAGCCAGTGTTCTGTGGTTCACACTTTTGTATTATTATCTGTAACTTTCTTCACAGCTCTTTCCAATGCGCCAACGTCTATTGGCCTTGTTTTAACTTGCTTACTTCTGGGCATGTTTCTGGGAAGAATAACGATAGCTATTACTTACACTATTAGGTACCAAAAATATAGATAACAACACATGAATATACAATGTTGTAGCTTGGGACATGGCCCGAGGTGCAACGAAACTAATGGCCCGACGTACAACATCCTATAAGCAGAATAATTATATAGCTACTGTTTCCTTTGGGATTAACTTAAAAATGTGATTTTATGGCAATATTATCGCCAATGTCCCGGGTACAACCGTCCCAAGGTACAACACTTTCTCCTACTTTCATGGATTTTCTTTTGTAGGAAACAACAAAGCAACAAATTTTTACGATCGTTTAAACGTTCGAAACTAAATACATCGACCCTCCATCAGCTCCAAGCACATGATATAAATGCATTTATGCAAGAATCCAAGCTATCGCAAATTCCAGCATAACATCTCCAAAAAGCAGCCATAATCTGGCATATACTGATCTAAACTATGTAACTTGCACACCAAATTAATACCAGGTTCTATCGTCTAACCATTTTGCACAATCCTCAAATTCCTCCCGGGCGTTAACTACATTACCTCCTGAACAAATTGCCAGTTTCTGAATTGGATATATAAAACAAGAAATTCACAAAATAAGGAATATTGTATTTGAAATATATATATCATTTTAATTACTGTATACATGTTTACAATAAATATTTTTATATCATTGTAATTTTAACCTGTTCATATAAAAACATTTATATAAACGGTACAAAATTAACAATAAAATTACTGTGATTTCATAATTATTTTTTCGGTATACTTACTTAGTTAATAAATAAAATTTTTAAATCGTGATCTGATTATCCAACTAAAGATTTCATCGATATTTTGTTACAACGTGATGTCGTGCATCGGATCATAGCTCGAATATGGAGTCTCAGTGTGCAGTTTTAAAGTCACGTGTTTTGTCCATATCTCGCTTAAAATATTCGCTTCTTCCCATTTAAAATTTACGATGATGGGCTATCTAACAACCATATACTTACCTATCCGTACTATAAAACGTACCAAAGAAACGATTCGATTACAAAGACGCGGAAGTTAAAACTATACAACGGCATCCACAGATCTCCCAACGTTTCTCAAAATAGATCTCAAATATCGTTATGTAACGATGTTTAGGTATTATAGGTAGTATCACTTAAAAAAATAAATCCATCAAAAGACGATTTCGTTGTAAATTAAAAGACTATTTTTTTTTAATGAAATCTCTTGAAGGTTTTAGACATTTTAAGAAAGAATGGCAAGATAAATTACGAATACACGATAGTCGTGAACATTACGCGTCGACGAAGAGCGGTTTCGTGAACTATGACCATAAATTACCGGCAAAGAAGAAGAAGGGTCGCCGTCTCAAATACTCGGTTATTTGAGACGTATCGCGGTGGACTTTCAATTTAATTATTCCACATATTGTTCGCGTCTATTCTTTTTGTCATTAAGGTTTAGACTTTATTACATAATCAGTTTTGCTTCTAAAAAGTTAACTGCCGGAAACTTTAGAAGTTGCGTAACTTGTTATATTAGTTATTTGTAATTAGTGTAAAATCGTTCATTAAGAAATAAAACATTTTAAACCGAAATTACGACCATTTAAATATATTTTTCAAAGTAACATATAAAACTCAAATGCATTTGGTTTGAGATTTAAGAAGAGAAGTATTTAAGTATCACACTTACACGAGCAAAAGGTAATTATGATGTGATAAAGAATTGGAAATTCTAAAGTAACAGCAAAGACAGAGAACTGCTTTTAAAAGCTATTAGGCGATTACTATTAATACTAATGGCATTACAAATATACAATATTCATAAGATGTGTATTCACTTAATAATTATAATGACAAATGAAATTTCAATTAAGAAATGAAGGGATTTAATGTATAGGACATAAAAGATACAGTAAATGGAAAAATAATACGGTTTAGAGAGGAGAAATTGTGTAATATGTATAAATGAAGAACTAATATAATCTAATATCAACTTTTTGGGTGGTTGTAATAACTATATACCGAGATGACTTAGTAAATGGTTTGCTCATCAGGCTGTAAAAGCAAGAAATAGATACTAGATTGAGAACAGGAGGACTAAAAAGAGACTGGTTATAGAAAAAAATAATAGAACAAATAAAAACGAACCAAAAATTCATTCCAACAAGTCAGATTAACCTACCTACACTTGCCATAGAACTAGAAAACAATATTAATGGATTGCCGGAGGAAGACAGCTTGAGAAAAGACCTCATGGAAATGCTTAAAAGAAAAGAACAATGTATTCAAAATAATAATAAAAACAACACACACAATAACACTCATAACATACACTGGAAAGAAGAGAACAAGACTTTACGTAAGATAAAAAATAAAATTAAAACCAATTCCCTCATCGTGACAAACGCTGATAAAAATGCAGGTTTAGTTATTTTAGATAAACATTTATACATTTCCAAGACTCTTACATTTTTTGAGGAAAACAACTTCTATGAGATTAACAAAAATCCTAAAAACCCTTTTCACAATAAGACAAAGAAAGTAGTAAAAGATGCAGAAACATTTCTAAAAGACAACAATATTAACCCATATTTCATTTTACCTATAAACCCAAAAATTCCATTGCTTTACTCTCTTATCAAATTACATAAAAATAACTCTCCTATTAGACCTATCATATCTTCTATAGACTCTAGCACATACAGAATTTGCAAATTCTTAATCCAATTTTTCAAAAATGTCATAAATTTCAAGGCTGACTATGCCATCACCAATAGATATGAACTTATAGAAACTTTAAAATCTTTACATTTACCCAAAAACTTTACTTTACTATCTTTCGATGTCACAAACTTATATACCAACGTTCCAGTTAATGAAACACTAAATATAGCTAAACACATCATAGAAGAAAAAGTGGACTCAAAAAATGTTGAACATATTTTTAATTTACTTAAAATATGCACAGAACAAAATTTCTGTCAATTCAATGATAAATTTTACCAATACAATGAGGGTCTTCCAATGGGATCCCCCTTGAGCGGTCTACTCTCCGACATATTCCTTAATAGTATAGAAAACAAAATTTTACACAAAGATAACATTAACAATAATAATATAGTCCTGTGGCTCAGATATGTTGATGATATTTTGATAATTTGGGATGATGACGGATTCAATTTGATAGATGATTTCCATAAATACATTAATAACCTCCATAAAAATCATAAATTTACTATAGAAATTGAAAAACATAAACAACTAAACTTCTTAGATCTCACCTTAGTTAATACCGATTATTCTATTCAATACAAAATTTACAGAAAACCAACACAAACAGACACCATAATCCCATATTATTCTCATCACATTACAACACACAAATTAGCTGCCTTTAATGCTTATCTATATAGATGTTTCAACACCCCCCTTTCAAACGAAGATAGAAACACAGAAATTAATATCATTAAGAGTATAGGTATTAACAATGGTTTTCAATTATCCCAAATTGACAAAATAATTAATAAATTCATTTTTAAACAAAACCTTAACAACTCTACAGGTCTTCAACCTATAACTCAAAACTTTGATACATACAGATCAATTACTTATCCCGGCAAAATAGCTCACAATATCAGAAACATTTTCAATAAATATGGAATCAGCATATCTTACAAAAACAATCACACCTTACAAAAACTTTTGCATAATGCAAAAGATAAGCTAGACTTGTTGGAACTTAACGGTGTTTACAGTTTAGAATGTAATATTTGCGGAGCCACATATATTGGCGAAACAGGGAGAGCCCTAAAAACAAGAATTAGAGAACATTTAATAAAACCCAACTCTAATTTTGGTAAACACCTATCTCTGCACAACCACACTTTTGATATTAAAGAAAATGTAACACTGATACATAAACAAAATAAAGGCCACAAACTTGAGCTTTTAGAGAGCTATGAAATAGACAAATTCATAAAAACTAATACAAGACTTGAGTGCCTTAATGACCAGGTCCTCCCCTTAAAGCCACCCTTATACAAATGCCTCAATAACCCATTTCCCCAAAATACCGAGGATCAGTGTACTTAGCCGCACACACTGTTCGCAGATTTTGGGGTCCCTGCGGCAACACCCAACTCCTGTCTACACCCTATCCTTGTATTCCCTATCCTATATTTTTCTATTAATTTAAAAATCCAAATTTTATTATCCCCTTCCCTTACCTTACTATTCAACGCCTGGAAATATTAACTACAAAATACAAATTATATACATTACATACATTTTTAAAAAACAGATTTTAGAGTTGTTGCCTCGCAGACAATTATACTCGCAGAAGGGATTTGTTTCATCTGAACACCCTCTATGTAATTTTATTTTATTTTCAACACATGCGCATTTATACATTTTATTTCTGGGTTTCGCGAACTCATAAAAAGTGGTTACCTCTTGCAATTTTCAACCATTTTATTTTTGTAACTTTCAAGTAACGTCGTTTTTAACTTTAATTCTTAAACTTTACATTTACATTTTAACATGTTAGTTCTATAGTTTTTTAAAATTTAATATTTACAATAATTGTTTTGAATGTCACCGTTTTTGATGTGCTGACCTTATTTACGATTTATACTTTATGCGAAGTTTTTTGAACGCCGTTTCTTATATTACGACAAGTAAGTTTATTTCATTTCATATTTGTAACAACTTTTATTATCATTCTTGTTGTCAATTTGTAGCGCTTCTGAAGATGGCTAATTAGTCGAAACATGTAAAGCGGATTTACTTATAATAAACCAGTATAAAAGTACAATTAGTGATTTATAAAAATCAAAATTCAATCAAATATCATATAGAAAAAAAAGTCTCAAGAAGAAGAAACAGATTAGAGAGTGATGAGCAGAGCCGCGACGTTTCGGGCTGTTGATGTCACCATCTGTATGCTGGTATTGAGGCTTAAGATAGAAAAGAGAATGCAAAAGCAAGGAAGACATTACACAGAGAAGAACGAAAACCAGACAGGTAATTGAAGAAACATGAACCCTACTTATTAAAAATGGTGGAAACGCATTGATACAACATGTGGTGGATCTTGTTGTAGCGAATGAAATGTAGGTATTATATGCTTACTGCACAAAAGGCAAAAGACCATACGTAGAAGTTACAGGCGGGTACCAAGGACCGGTAGGTAGAAGATCAGTTTGGTTGGGTTGGGCCGAAGAAAGGATTTGTGGATGATGTTGAGGTGGACCTAAGAAGGTTGAAGGTTGGGGTTTGGAGACGACAGGCATGGGATAGATAAGTTTGGAAGGAACTGTTAAGGTAGACCAAAGCTATAAAGCCAAGTATGATGACGATTGACTTTTCTATGACTTCCTATCCTTCCTTTAAGACCTTCCTATCTTATAAAGCCTTGTTGTTCTTCGGCTAGTGTTGTAATGGAAACAATTTTGGTTGCAATAAGATTATCACAACCAAAATGTTTTAATAATTAAATAATTTTTTATTCAAACAGTTTAAAACAGTTTTTAGTTTATATTTATTAATAACCTTATTAATTTTTTTTGGGAGGGAGGATTTTTTTTTTGTTAATAAGGGATTTAGTTTTTAAATAAAAGACAGATGTTTAATACCTACAGTATTTATTTTGACTTTTACTTTTGGGAGTTGCGCGATAAGGTACTTTTTAATAGGACGGGTTTTGAAAACTCGGTCTCTTTGGTTTTGGTGATGCTTTTCTCCGCCGGTGGCGAAGAAAAGCAACGACGAGTGTAAATCAGCGTAGATAGGCATTTTGGAAAATTTGCGATTAAATTTTGGCGTCTTGAGGCTAATCCGAAGACATCGGAAATATCACTCCAGTTGAAAAGTCGCGGTTAAGTCTTTTCTATAACCCGACCCGGATATTTTAACCGGATTTAATATTTTTCACCATTTTTCATAAATTTTTGGGTGTAGACCTCGACAACTGAGGTCTTTCTTTTGGGGGAACCATTTTTTTTTAATGAAATTCTTGGTCCTAAAATTTTGAGCACATTTCAATAACTTCAATACCACTGGATATCCACTCCTTACCATACCATCTCAAAGGAAGTTGCTGAAGATCATCCAACTCATACCTTTTCGAAGTTGACTATAAAAAAAAAAAAAGAAGACAACTTAAGGTCAGATCAACATTGCGTTTTAAACTTTGAATTTTTTATATTCTATTTTATTGTCTGTCTATTGTTTCAATTATTAAGTTTGATAATTCAATTTTTTTTGTACATTATAATAATACTTACTTGGTATAATTTAGGATCTTTTTTTTTAAAAGAAAAAAGAATAACATACAAACTAAATTTAGAATTTATAACTTTGTTTTGTTTTGAATTTGCGAATCAATTTATTATAATTTATTTTACTTTAGTAAAAGAGTTTAATTGGTATTTTTTTTATTATTTTGAATTTCGATTTTTTTTTGATTTAATCGATTTCTGAAACAAGTACTTGAGGTAGACAATCGGTATCGCGGTCAATCAGGTGTTTCATTTAGTTTTTTATTTTGGTTATCCAATTAAATCTTCTTAGTTTCATTTTTTTTTTATTTTTATATATTTTCCTTAGGTTGATATTAATTTTGATTTGATTTAACCTACATATATAATTTACTTTATCTACGACTGCTTGGATAAGTCATCATTACCGCACTCATTTGAGGTGATTTGAGTTACGTAATGAAGTTCATTACCGCACTGGTTTCATTACATAACGCATTTTTAACCTAATCAGAACAGACTTAATTTATTGAAACGAGCAACAATACAAAAGAAAAAGTGCTATCTACTTACAGAGAAACAATACTATTTATTATAAACATTAATTGTTATGTTTTTACATTTCAAAACACTTATTCCAGATGAGTAAACATGTTGCTGAAACTGACAACAATTCAAAATTGTCAACAATCATTTCAAAAGATTTTTATAAATGTCAAATAGACTTTTCTAAAGAAATTGATTTTTTAGTAATATTTAGCAGTCGTAGATAAAATGCTGTATATCACACGTGGGCTAGAGCATAATTACAGTACTCGTGTGATAATTACGTTTCTAGCCCACTTGTAATATAAATAACTATTATTTGATTTTTTTTTATTTTGCAATTTATATATCATTTTGCTTACCTGCATCTATTGAGTTTCTTTATTTTCTTTCTATATCTTTGTGTTGTTAAATTTTCGTTATTGTATGAACCTCTTGTTTCCAACATCACTTCACAATCAGTGCCCGTTGCGACTTAACGGATTGTGTGGCGCCTTAAATAAATCGAACCTTCCCTTCTCCAAACGAGTTTGTCGGAGAGTTCGCAACAAACTGGTTAGGTTTAATGATAACGTAAATTGTTTCGCGGGTTGTGTGTTGATCGGGTAAAAATTTCAAAAATTATCATAATTTTCATTTCGGGTGCGTTTTGGTTCTCCTTTTTTTTTTAAGGCGTATCACACTTCAATACATTTATTAACCCTTCTACTAAAACTTTCTTTATATCTTAAAAGGTTTTCATGGTTACTATTTCTGCATGCATTTCTTATCCGCTCTTTCATGTTTTCTGACGTAGTCGGTACTTCGCGATAAACATTATCTTTAAACACGCCCCACAAAAAAAAAACAAGAGCTGTTAAATCAGGTGAGTCCTCATTTAAGGTAGAATGAATAAAGTTAACAGAAGACACTAATTTAGACTCAACTGATCGCCCAGGCAAGAAACCATGTTGTTCAGTAATGAGAGAGTGAGCAATAGAGTGGTTAAAGTAATCGTAAACAATTTTTTCAAAAACCTTGGGAATAGACGAGAGAATAGAAATTGGACGGTAATTAGATAACAACTGTCTATTCCCGGATAAATATTGGAACCACAAAAGCGCTCTTCCACGCGCTCGAAAAGTACCTTCGAGTAAGCATTTTGAAAAAATAGGAAAAAGTGGGGTCGACAGTTCGGCAGCAAACTCCCTCAAAAAGGAAGATGGAATACCATCCGGACCAGAGCTAGATGACTTGTCAAGCTGGGTCAAAACATTATGGACTGCGTCAGCAGAGAACCAAGGTGAAACACCCTGGCCACCGAAGACCATTGAACGGTCAATGGTACCATCTATGAAAACCGAGGCGAAATATTCTGCAAATGCACAAGAGATATCAGGACCTGAAGTCGCCATTAACCCATCAGCGGAAAAGATGGTGGCTGGCATGCCAGATGCATCCCCCTTCCTGGACTTAACAAAGGCCCAGATTCCTTTGGGATTTTCCATAACCCGTGCCTGAATCGAGTTTAAGTGATCTCTATAATCAGCCGCAATAAGCCACTTAGACCTGGAGCGCAAGATAGAGAAAGCCAAGTAATCACTATTATGGCGAGTGGATTTCCATTTTTTATGGTAAAGTAGCTTTTCTTTAATTACTCGATTTGTTGAACGTTTATACCAATAAAAAAAACGTTGCTTAGGTAGAGTGCGCTTAGGAACGTCTCTGTTAATTACATAATTAACGCGGTCATAGAAAACTTCAACCATGCCCTCCACGCCCATCCCAGCAAAAATAGTCTGCCAATGGATACTATTTAAGAAACACTTGATAGCTCCGGAATTCGCGTTCTTAAAAAGAAAGCGAACATTCGGACCAACACTCAAACAAGTGAACATGCCTGATAATAAGAATTCAAACGGTGGATGGTGGCAGTCAGGATCATTGCAGAGATGTATACTTTCGACTCGACCGTTAGCGCATAGAACAAGATCAAGAATTTTAGTATTAATATTCGATACATTATTAAATTGACTGAAATTCTACTCTTCATATTATATGAATAAATGTTAAGAAAACCAATGACGCGACGGACGAAATTCCCTATGGGAAATATCAATTATTAATACATCATCTTCAGACATAGACCAAGAGATAGCTGGCATATTGAAACGACAGACACACTGGACAAAAGCAGATTCAGCGCTTCATCAGCAGAAGGAGGAAGATATACACAGCACAAGAGAAAGTTTAGTTGACCGCACTGAACTTTCAACCACAAGTCTTCCGCACCACTTTGCAGACTCGGCATGGGAACGGTATGAAAGCCATGCTTGGCAGTTATAAGGACTCCGCCACCATCGCGCTTGGTGGAAGCCGTTGAATTTCTATCGCGACGATATAAGGTATAAGATGAGCTGAGTAGCTCCTTGTCGGATATGCTATCATTAAGAAATGTTTCAGTAAGGAAGATAAAATCCATAAACCGTTAAAAAAGTGATAGGATCAACAATAAAAACGACGAGGGCCATCTTACAATTTATTCAAGTCAGACGACGATTTGATCACCAAAATCTTCGCTCTATCATCTTTCCGCACATGGATCACGCAGCTCTTCGTCCAGATATACTTGTAGTTTTTATTTCTCGCGATTTCTCCTATTGGTGTAAAGATTATTGATATATAGATGATATATATAGATTGATAGCTTCCGCAATGTTGTACACAATTTTACTGCTCTTACTGCTGGAGGTGATCAAGGCGACACTCCGCAGCAGCTAGATCAGCCTTAAGTTTAGAATTTACAGCGACCAGTGCATCGACTTGTTTGATCTTATCACCGAAATTGTTAAGGGCTCGCTCGAAATCAGTGATTTTGTCGCTGTAGAAGGAAATCGACTTAACAATCTCGTCGTATCTGTTAGATAAATTCTTTACATCATTCTGAATAGATAGGCCACTAGAGGACTGGGAGTCAGAGATTTCATCGTCAATTATGACGGATTTATCCAAATTTCCTCGACATTTATGTCTATTGACTTGTCCTTTGTTTGTAAAAGTAGACTCATCCGAGAATAGCGCGTTACCAAAGAAATTGACGTCCAACCGCATTTGTTCTTGTGCCCATTGGCAAAATATTAATCGATTTTCAAAATCACTTCTATAAAGCTGTTGATGCAATGAAATGTGGTATGGGTGCTACTTGTGCTTTAATATTGTTAAAATGCTGGTCTTCGATATTTCGGCGTCAATTGCAAGTCGACGAGTGCTAAGTTGAAGATTTACCTCAACGTTAGCTAATACCGCAGTTTCCTTTTCTTCCGTTACATTTGCTCGCCGAGTTCTTTTTCTTGATTCCACATTTCCAGTGTTAGTGAAATCATTCACAACTTCGTAAAAGGTACTTCTCGAAGGCGTATTTCTATCAGAAAAACGTTCTCGATACAAAGCTTTTTACAAAGCGACCTTTCTGCCACACTTTAAACACTTTGCCTTAATGTAAAACGATGGAATGAATTCAGAATTTGTTGCCAAGCAGTTTTTATGCAAATTTAGTATTACCTGTTACATTTTAAAACAATTCAACCAATTAAGTCTCTGAAAGCAATATTTTGAAAATGCCGATATAAGCAGTTCCACGAACTCTTGTTTTTTATGAGTCATATGAGAAATGTTGGAA